ACATTCTGGAGCTTATTTTACTGGAACTTGAGAACAATTGATAATTCTAGTCATAAGTTACTCCCAACATCACTAAACCTTGGGTAGCTCATGAATCAGCCAGGTTAGGCATCGATAAAGTGGCCCTGAGTGAGGTCTGCTTCTCAGCAAGGCAGTGTGACAGCATTCTGGCTGCATCCTGTATTGATTAAGTAGACTTCAAGCTAAACAATGCCTCCTAGACGTTAACTTCAAGGTGAAGGAAACTGCAGCTATTAAACTTTCAGGTCTGCCTATTGGGTCATTCCAGATGATTATGTCCTGTGTCTCTCCAAAAGTTTGCAAGTTTCATCAGCATTTATATTCCAACTCTGAAGGCTGACCCAGCTGATGAAAATACATCTACACTGATCTTCATGAACTCCTCCAGAATGCCCCTCCCAAGGAAAAAACTGTCATCCATGATGATTCCAATTCCAGGATTGGCCATGACAGCCTGGTTGATTGTACCTGTGGAAAACACTTTACTGTACACTGCTGGTAATATACACTTCCGTGAAGCACTACAATCTGAGAACTGATGGCAAGACACTACACGTTGACAAGGAGTCAGTCCTTAATCATCAGTTGGAGCACTTTGAAACACACCAGCCCTGAGTGAACAGTGCATGATACTGCTATTAGCTGTAGCATCAACTGCCATGAAGAACTGCATGAGAGTCCAACTCTTGGAGTTCAATGGATTTCCATTCAAAGCATTGAAGCATGTTATCTCTGTTGCCTACATAGCAGACTCCCATTCTGATGGCCTGCTGGGAACAGGACAGGATTCCACAGGGTCGTAGTGATGTTGTTATCACCATCTTGTATCAGAACAAAGGAGAAAAATCATATAGTTACAACTACTGTAGGATCATTCTCTGTCTGTCTCATTCACATCTGTTGGATGTGATGTATGGAGAACAGACCATTGATGAATAGAAAAGGGGTTCCAAGCAAACATTGCACATATTCCCTGAAATAAGTCCCTCTGCATTTCACATTGACCATTGCCAGTAGGAAATTCAGCCATAAATTGTGATGCTTGGAGATGCTAAATTGGGAGTGCTGTTGATTCTTGTATCATGAAAAAAGAGTCAGCATGAAAGAGAAAAGGAGGAAGCTCAGCATCTACTACATCTTCAACTGTAGCAGCATTGCTGGTCATGGGTAAGCCTGACTAGCCACCAGTGGGCCTCTAATTGAGGAGAACAATCTTCCTAAAATAATCTTTGTCTGGAAAGAAATATCCCACTGCCTCCCCCATCATAGCTGTGCCAGAGGTCGTGCTCTATATAATGATCCATACATTGGAAGAGTCAAAGGATAGTGATCAGCAACAGGTCTCCAAGCTAAGTATTTACTTACCAAATCTGTGACCAATTGCAGGAGTACCGTAGGACTCACTAAGATATTTAGCATATTTAACCCATGTATCAGTGGACCAGGAGTAAAAGAAATAAATTTCATTTACATAGCACCTTTTATAACTTAAGGATGTCTCAAAGCCCTTCACAACAAACTCAGTACTTTTTGAGTGTAATCATGATAATGTTGTGAGCTGCAGAAACTGATTTGATTGAAATATAGCAAGTTCTCTGAAACAATAGTGTAATAATCACGAGATCATCTGTTTATTGATACACGTTGAAGGGTGAATATTGTCCAGGGCACCAGGGAAAATTCTCTTGCTCTCCATTCAGTAGTGTATGGGATCTTTGACAGCACCCCATACAGTGTGGCAATACTCAATGCAACATTGAGACATTAGCCTGAACTGTGTGCTGGAGTCTCTGGAATTCACACAAATGCATCAGTGGGCTATATGCTTATACCACTACCTCTAAAGTTTCACCTGCCGGACAAACATTTTGTTACTCATTTTTGGGAAATTTGAGCTTTGCTACCACAGTTACGTATATTGCTCATTCCTAGCTGTCTTGAGAAGATAGAGGGCTTCTTAACTGACTGAAGTCCTTTTGGCAATGCTGATTGTTGTCCCGCGTGAGACCTATGCTAGTTGGCTTCCATTTTTCAAAGTCAAGCACGTAGTGTGGACAAGAGTCATAGAATCCTTACAGTGTGGAAACAGGCCATTTAGCCCACCAAGTCCACACCATCTGTCTGAAGAGAATCCTACCCAGACTCACCCCTTCACCCTATCACTGTAACCCTGCATTTTCCATGGCTAATCCACCTAACCTACATGTCTCTGGATACTATGGGTAATTTAGCATGACCAATCCACCACCGCTTCACAGGGAAAATGTGTAAACTCTACACAGACAGTCACCCAAGGCTGGAATTGAGCCTGGTTCTCTGGCACTGTGAGGCTGCAGTGCTAACCAGTGTGCCGCCCCAAAATTTATTTAGAGATGGCAAGAACTGCAGATGCTGGAGTCCAAAATAACACGGTGTTGAGCTGGAGTAATACAGCAGGTAAGGCATCATCAGAGAAGCAGGAAAGTTGATGTTTCGGGCCAGGACTCCTCTTCAGAAATGGGGAGGGGGAAGGGAGCTCAGAAATAAAGAGAGGAGGGGTGGGGCTGGGGAAGGTAGGTTGGGTGGTGATAGGTGAGTGCAGGTAGGGAGTGGTGGGGATTGGTCAATGAGGTGGGAGGAGTGGGTATGTGGGAGAGAAGATGGACATGTTGTGTCAGGTCAAGGAGACGGGGATGAGAGGGAGGGTTGGACATGGGATGAGGCCGGGTGTGTGGAGATTTTAAAACTGGTGAAATTCGGGTTTAGGCCATCAGGCTGTAGGCTTCTGAGGTGGAATATGAGGTGCTGCTCCTCCAGTTTCCGGGTGGTGTCATTGTGACACTGGAGGAGGCTCAGGTTGGACATGGCACCCAGGGAGTGGGAGTTGAAATGGTTCGCGACTGGAACGTGTCGTCATTTGTCACGAACACGGCGCAGGTGCTCTACAAAGTGGTCTCCGAGCCTCTGCTTGGTTTCGCCGATGTTGAGGAGGCCACATCGGGAGTAGCGGATGCATTAGACCACATTGATGGACGTGCAGGTGAACCTCTATCTAATGTGGAAGGTTTGTTTGGTGCTTTGAATGGAGGTGAGGGGGGAGGTGTAGCACATCCTGTGGTTGCAGGGAAAGGTGCCAGGGGTGGAAGGGCGAGTGGGGAGTGTACGAGGGAGTGGCGGAGACAGCAGTCCCTATGGAAGGCAGATAGGAGTGGGGAGGGAAATATCTCTTTGGTTGTGGGGTCGGATTGTAGGTGGCGGAGAATGATACGTTGGATGCAGAGGTTGGTGCGGTGATATGAGGGCAAGGGGGATTCTGTATTTTTGTTTGGGTGAGGGAATGTGAGGGCAAAGGTGCAGAAGACACACGAGATGTGGTTGAGGGCATTTTTGATCACCAGAGCTGGGGCGGGTGGAGTTATGGTCCTTGAAATAGGAGGACATCTGAGATGTGAGGGAGTGGAACGCCCCATCTTGGGAGCAGATGTGGCGGAGGAATTGGGAGTAGGGGATCCTATTCTTGCAGCAAGGTGGGTGTGAGGAGGTGTAGTTCAGGTAGCTGTGGGAGTCAGTGGGCTTGAAATAGATGTCAGTTTCGAGATGGTCACCAGAGATGGAGATGGAGAAGGAGAGGAAGGTATCAGAGATGGTCCAGGTGAACTTGAAGTTGAGGTGAAAGGTGTTTGTAAAATTGATGAACTGTTTTAAGTTTTAAAATCTCCCCACCCCTGGCCGCCGCCTCGACCTGACACATCTTTTCTCCCACCTATCTGCCCCTCCCAACTTACTGATCAATCCCCACCACTCCCTACCTGCACTCCCTTATCACCATTCCACCTACCTCCCCCAGCCCCACCCCTACTCTCTCTGTTTATTTCTGAGCTTCCTTCCCCCTCCCCATTTCTGAAGAAGAGTCCCAACCCAAAACGTCAACTTTGCTGCTCCTCTGATTCTGCCTTGCTCACTGTGTTCCTCCAAAATTTAGTTAACCTATTTTTCCAATGAACCTCAGATGTTATTACACACCTCTTGAGCAGGTGGGACTTGAACCTCGCCTTCCTAGTTCAGGAATAGGAATGCTACCATATGCCACAAGAGGGCCCCCTCTTGAGTCAATGTGCAGGTAGAATTCTGTTGCCAAATATTGGTGTTGAATCAAATTTGTGTAGCTTCTTCAGCAACCAGGAAAAGATGTTGAAAAGAATATCTCCGGATGGAGTCTGAAGCAAACCACTTTGCTGCGTCACTGATGGCTATTGAAAATCAGACCTAGAGCTGGATGAACGAAGTGGGAGATCTCTGCTCACTGTATTTGTGAAATTTATGTATTGAGTCACAAGGGTGGAAATCAACTGTCCTGGGCATACACTGTGGTAGGCAAAAGCACAAAGAAAATAGATCTAGCCTGGTGAATATTTTTAAATTCTTCATGTATGAAAATCCAGTGGACCAGTGTTACGTTCATAGAATAATAGAATCCCTACAGTGTGGAAGCTGGCCATTTGGCCTGCACCAATGCTCTGAAAAGCATCCCTACCCTATCCATGTAACCCTGTATTTCCCATGGTTGACCCACCTAGCCTGCACATCCCTGGACATGATGGGTAATTTAGCGTGGCCAATCCACCTAGCCTGCACAGCTTCCGACTGTGGGAGGAAACCCACACAGACACAGAGAATATGCAAACTCTCACAGACGGTCACCTGAGGGTGGAAGTGAATCCACATCCCTGGCACTGTGAGGCCGTAGTGTTAACCACTGAGCCACCATGGTAATGCAACTGTGTCAATGTGGCAGTTTTTCTCCCTACACTGCAATAAATGCATCCTTTTTTAAAAAAGGAAAAATGCTTCAACATTCAGTTGATGTGTGGTTCTGTTTAAGATGCCATTTTCATGGTAAACTAGGTGATATAATGTAGAACGTAATGATGGGTACAGAATTGTTAGCTTATAATTTGACTATCTGACTGATATCAACTTTACTGCTTTGCTTTCTTCAGAGTGTTGAATCCGTAAAGAAGGAGCTAGATGAGAGTGCTCTCGGCCGGAGTGGGACCTACCGGTCACCATCATTGCTGAGGAAACGAACTGACTTTTCACATGATAAAACACAAGAAAAAATATTTGAACCAAATGAGTATGTGATATTTTGGTATTGAACAAGACAATTTATTTTACTCAGACAAAATAATATGCTGTTGGAGATACTCGGCAGAGCTAGCAGCATCTGTGGAGAGAAAACAGTTCATGTTTCAAGTCCCCTTCTGAAGAAGGGTCACTGGATTCAAAACATGAAGTCTGTTCTCCCTCTATAGGTGCTACCAATCCTTCTGAGTTCCTCCAGCAATTTCGGTTTTTGTTTCAGATCTACAGCATCCGCAGTTCTTTATTTCAATTTGTTTTACTCCCTTGCCTTAAAGTGCTAATTTTCTCCAGGCCACAGCCATTCTCTGGTTACTTATCCAGATGACCATTCATCATTTGTGAACTTAGATTGTGGCTTTTCAGCAGTTCAGTCAGCCATGAGGTCATAACAGCTGAACTCAGTCTGCTGTCATTCAACAACCACACACAGACAGCACTTTACATTTATATAGAATGCTTTGTGCAAGCTGTACAGTCTCAGCATTTTGAGGAGAAGAAAATGGACTCAGCATGACACAGGCAGAATAGAGAACAAGATGAAAGAATAGTTGATGAAAAGTGAAAATAGATTTTTTGAAGTCAAAGCAAGAAAGGAAATTGAAGATCATTTTGACAAAAGCATGGTAGTTGACAGAGTGGCATGATTTGTAAAACAGTAATTGTAAACTGTGAGGAGGATTGCAGACTTCAGGAGGTCATTGCTTGAAATGTCCAGGCACATGGAAAATTATACTTAATACAGTAAATGTGAAGCATTGTACTTTTGTTTGAAAATGTACAAAGAGGCAATAAAAGCTGAATGGTCCAAATATAAAAGCAATGCAGGAGCTTATAAACCAAGGGGAAGATGGGGTATCATTTTCAGAAATTTTGCATCAGATGATAGGAGTGTTTTTAGAAACCTCTGAACCATTCAATAAGATCATGAAAGGATGATAGAAGATTCAGCAGTAACTTTTGAAAGAGAATTGAATAAGCTTTTGAAGATGCAGTTGGCAGGGTTATAGATAGTATTAGTGGAGTGGGACTGATTGGGTTAGCTCTTTCTGATGTGGTGGACTGAATGGCCTCCTACCATGTTGTCAGATTCTGTGATCAGTTTCAAATTGTGCAAGATGAAGAACAGGTGGACAGGTCGGGCAACAGAAATCAACCCGCAAAGTAGTGAAGAGACTTATTAGAGTTCTGGGGGTTATGGAAAGAGCTTGGATCGCAGGCAGCTGGTATTGCAAAGTGAAAGAAGATGGTCTAGATGACAAATCAGTGCATGAAGCCTAGCTCAAGATCAAGCAAGTTTCTAAAACACTGGATTTCTAAGATGCAGTCAAGGTAGTTAAGATGCAAGTACATTGTGACTAGAGCCAAAAGAGCTGACTTCCCTTTAGCTTACTTTTAAAATTGGAAAAAAAAATTGGGTTCGTGTTAGATAATGTCAAACAGGAAGTTGACTGCAAGATAAAAATAGAAGTGGGAAGTTTAAAGATGGATGTCCACATTTTACATACACAATCTATTCTGGATAATTTTTATAGGACCATATGTATAACAAATAGATGAGACCAAGGTAGAGTGCCGGGCTATACCAGTGTTGATCAAGTAGGTTTAGATGGGGAAGGCATTGGAGGAATGCATGCTTTCATCATTTAGGGAAAAGATATGAATGGAAGAGTGCTGTACACATGGCAATGAATAAAAAATTGTTGGAGGAAAGCAAAATGGTGTCAAAAGGCAGCAGAGACGTTATTCGGAGGGACATGAATGTAAATGCAACCATAGAGGATATTATTTGTGACCTTGAATAAAGGGTCTGTATGGTGCATTTCACACTGATTTTTTTCCAAACTAAACCATCAATGGAGCTATTGATGAGAAATTGCAAATAATTCATCACTTAGGTTAAAATAAATTCCTAGAATCAATGATATTAGTTTATGTTCAACAGTCAGTCATGCTCAGATTTGACATTTGCAATCTCAATTGTTCTCTTTATAGAGAAGCTATGGGGATGGTGCTGCATAAGGATTCAAAATGGTACCAGCAGTGGAAGGAATTCAAGGACAATAACGTTGTCTTTAACAGTAAGCACTCCTTGCCATCAAAACACAAAATATACAATGCCTGACAATTGATCTGATGAGTTTGCTTTGTTTTAGATGGTAATATAAATGCAGCTTTTTCTAATTTTTCTTTGCAGGGTTCTTTGAAATGAAGATGAAATATGATGAAAGTGACAACGCATTGATTAGAGCATCGAGAGCCATAACAGACAAAGTCACTGATTTGATAGGTAAGTAAAAATATGCATGCTCTTTCACTGGAGTTTGGAGCAGAAGGAAATGCATTATTAAAAGTGATTCAGTTAAATGTCACATCAGAATGTGATAAAGCAGACTACACCAAAGTGACAGCTTCACTTCCAAATAGCAGGATACAAGGTGAAAATAAGTAGCTTGCCATCTGAACCATTGTTTCTCACTGTTACCCCAATCCCAACCTGAATTTCTAACAATTTTGCATTTATGCGATATGTTTCATTTCACAAGCAAGTTAATAGTTCAGAGGTTGTAAAAGATAAGTTAAGAAACGGTGAGTGACCCATAGGTAACTGCACCTCCTCCACAATAACACTCAACACTGGAGGTCCCCAAGGATGTGTCCTCAGCCCCTACTGTACTCCCTGCACACCTATGCCTGTGTTCCCAAATTCTGAATGAACGCTATCTACAGGTTCGCTGACAACACCATCTAACAGCGATGAATCAAAATACAGAAGGGAGATACAGGGCTTGGTGATATGATGCAACGAAAACAATCTGTCTGTCAACATCGACAAAACTAAAGAACTGATCATCGACTTCAGAAAAAAAGGGGAACACGCCTCCATCTACATCAACAGAACTGAGGTTGAGAGAGTGAAGAGCATAAAGTTCCTCAGTGACGATAACCGACGACCTGTCTTGGACTTCCCATGTAAATGCAACAGTCAACAAGGCACAACAATGCTTCTTCTTCGGGTGGCTCAGGAAATTTGGCATGTCCATAAGATCCCTCGCCTATTCTACAGATGGACCATTGAAAGCATACTGTCCGGATGCATGATGGCCTGGTATGGCAACTGCTCTGCTCAGGACCGTAAGAAACTACAGAAGGTGGTGTGCGCAGCCCAGACCATCACGGAAACCAACCTTCCATCCATGGACTCTATTTACACGGCTTGCTGCCGCGGAAAGGCGGCTGACAGCATCAAAGACCCATCACATCTTGGTAATGACCTCCTCCAACTTCTTCCGTCAGGCAGAAGCTACGGAAGCCTGAACACAGACACAAGCAGGTTCAGGAACTGCTTCTTACCGGCCGTTATAAGATGTTGAATGGACTGTAGCCTCAAATAATGTAACCTGTATGCCTCTAAGTCTTTTTGATCTATATGTCCTTTGCTTGCTGAGATCTGCCTGTACTGCTTGTAAACAAAGCTTTTCACTGTATTTCAGTACATGTGACAATAAATCAATCAATAATCAGGTAGATTTCAAGTAGAAAGTGCTAAAGCAACTCAGCGGCTGTGACAGCATCTGTGGAAAGAGAAAGAGTTGACATTGAGCATAATAGATTCTCGTGTTCTAAAGAAGTATATTAGTGTCAAGACACTATCTGTTTTTCTCCCCTCCGATGCTGCCAGACTTGCTGAATTTTTCAAGCACTTTGTTTTTATTTCAGATCTCCAGCATCCACAGTATTTTGCTTTTGCTTAGGTTTCAGGCGGCATTTTGAAAGTTTTTAGAGGCTGATAATTTTAGGGAATGAGTCGTGTGTGGTTTTTATATCTGAAGACTGCCATTGGAGGTGGATGGGGTGTAAGTGAGGTCAGCCTAGAGCTAGATGAGGTTGTACAGATTTGAGCAAGGGCAGGGAATTTTTAGGTTGACGCCTTGTGGTCTAGGGAGAAGACCAGTGGCAGAGGAGTGGGACTTAGTGAAGATAAGATGGATCATTAGTTAAATTTCAGTTAATGTTTCATGGAATTTCGTAGCTGGGATGGAAAACTGTGGGTGACAAGTTGTATTTCTCAAATCTAAACATATGTTACAAGACCTGGAAACCAATGTCCCTGAACTCTATTACATAAATTCATATGTCCCTTGTAAACAAAACAAATCCCAGGCATTGTGCGTTTTCAACTAAACAAAAGACGAGGGATACTTGTTTCTTGGCACATTCCCAATGACAATTCCCTGACCAGGAGTCCAATCGCTAACCATTTTTCTCTTGCAGGTTAAATTGTCATTCTCTTTGAAATTTGCTGCTCTTGTATCTGCACTAATGAGTGCAAGACAAGAAGCTTTGATGGCTTTTCTCCTTCATTTGCAACACGTAACTCTCTTTTTGTATAAAATAACATGTCCAAGACCGTGTTACAAGTCTTTAATCATCATACTACAGATAATGGGTTTTTAGACTGGACCGTATTTAAATGACTTGAGGCCAACTGATTAGAGTTATACTGCTGACTCTGTGTTACACTGTATGTACGAAAATGGAAGACAAGTCACGGGGTGTTTCATGATTAAATCAGAAAGCCCAGACATTCTTTCAAATCAATAGTTGTATTTCATAAAATGGATACATTCCGAAAAGAAAATCACGGAATTTTGTGTGACTCAGTGCCTCAGCTGCAGTAGATATAAATGGGTCAGAATCAGCTTTAAAGTGGTCTTACATTGACTCTATGCAATTCATGTGACTGAAACAGAATTATAAGACCGAATGTATCAATGCAAGCTATGCAGTGTGATGGTCTGGAAAACATCAGAAGTACAGTGATGCTGTAGCCTAGAAGAATGATGGTTAGGAGCAAGTTTGTGACATCAGTGGAATCCTGATATGAAACTCATTGCTCAACATACTTCACTGGGTTGTTTTTCTAAACCACTGGAGATTTGTTCTTATTGACCATTTGTTCACTTGCCTTTTTGTGTGCGTTACTAGTGATTTCTGTATCAGTGAAATTTTCTAGAACAGTGAATGAAAAAGGGCAGTTTCTCCTAAAGAGACATGTTTATTCATTCATTCTGTGCCGCAGTTCATTGCTTGTGCTTTTTACCCAGGTCCTTAGCGATTTAGACTCTACCTACTGTGTCCACACAAATCATTAAATATCTATCTATTCTTACCCCATTTCCCAGTACTTGGCCATAGTCTAGTTTGCTATGGCATTTCAAAAAATCATCCAAATACTACATAAACATAATAATTCCTGCGACTACCGCTCTCGCAGGCATTGGATTGCAGATATCCACCATCCTTCTGGACAGATACAAGGTTATCATTTAAAACCTCACCTACATCTTCAGCTCCATGCATTATTTGCAACGTTAGTCCTTAAATATCCTTGCTCTTTCCTGGTTATCCTTTTTGCCTTAATGTACTTAGATACTTAATTGCATTATCCTTTTATTTTACCCACTAGCATTTTTTTATGTCCCCTCTCTGCTTTGTTAATTTATTCTTTAAGGAACCTTCTATGCTTTCTATACTTCTCTACGTCTTCTACTGTTTTTAGCCCTAGATATCTAGTGTAATCTTTCTTCCCTTATCCAATCTTGTACATTCCTCGACATTCAAGATTTCTCCTACCTACAAGAGCATGCTCAGATGGTCTGAGGAGTGACAGATGGACTTCTAATTTAGATAAATGTGAGGTGTTGCATTTTGGTAAGGTAAATCAGGGCAGGAGTTGTACCCTTATTGGTAGGGTCTTGGGGATTGTTGCCGAGCAAAAAAACCTTGGAGTGAATGCTCATAGTTCCTTGCAGGTGCAGTCGCAGATCGACAGGATAGTGAAGAAGGCTTTTGATATGTTTGCCTATATTGGTCGGTGCTTTTGAGTTAGGAGTTGGGATGTCATGTAGCTGTACAGGAGTTCGCTAGGCCACTTTTGGAGTACTGCATTCAATTCTGATCTCCCCTTAAATAGGAAAGGTGTTAAACTTGAAAGGGTGCAGAACAGATTTACAAGGATGTTGCTGGGATTGGAGGGTTTGAGCTATAGGGAAAGGCTGAGTATGTTGGGATTATTTTCCCGGGAGTGTCAGAGGCTGAGGGGTGACCTTTATAGTGGTTTCTAAAATCACGAGGAGCATGGATAGAGTCAAAAGGCAAGGTTGCCTCCCCAGATTAGGGGAGTCCAAAAGTGAGGGGGGAAGGATTTAACAGGGACCTAAGGGGCAATGTTTTCACACCGAGGATGATGTGTTTATGGAATGAGCTGCCAGAGGAAGTGGTGGAGGGTGGTACAGTTACAACATTTAAAATGTGTCTGGATGGGTGTGTGAATAGGAAGGGATTGGAGGGATGTGGGCCAAATGCTGGCAAATGGGACTAGATTAATTTGGGATATCTAGTCAGCATGGATGAGTTGAACCGAAGGGTCTGTTTGTGTGTGCTATACAATTGTATGACTGTGTTGCCCCTACATAGGCTTTATCGCTCTTTTGAATGTGTCTCACTGCACTGATGTACATTTAATTTCTCCCAGTCCATTTTGACCAGATCCTATCTTGTATTAAAATTGGCCTTCACCCAGAACCCTTTTCATTCTGTTCCAATTTTGTATTTTTCCGTAATCACTTTATATCTTGTTGAGTTATGGTCACTATCACCGAAATGCTCTCCCTATGACTTCTACTGCTTGCCTGGTTTTGTTCTCCAAAATTAGGTTAAGCACCACTCCTCTTTGTAGGATTGCTATGTGCTGGCTTTTTAAAAAGCTGTCCAGTAGACATTAAGAATTCTGCCCCTTTTAAGCCTTTTATGTTAGGTTTATCCCAATGCTCCCTTGCTCCCATGCTTCCTTATGCCTTTCTCTGTTTATGCCTTGTCTTCCACACTACCTTCTATATTTTTTGTGCATCACCCCATATTTGATCTCCACTCATTTTTTTTTTTCAACTCCCTCTTCTCTGTGCTCATATAGCTACACATCCCTCTGTCAACAGCACCAGCCTCTGCCCTGCATGGATGTTGGTCCTTTACGATTCAGCTGAAATGAGTCTGACTTGTACACGTCCCATTAACCCCAGAAATGGAACCAGTGATCTAGGAATCTAAAGCTCTCGCTCCTCCACCATCTCTTCAGTCACGCCACTGTGCATCAGTGTTGAAGATGGTGGTTGGGTGCCTATCATATGAGCTGCTTTGTTCTGGATGGTGTTGATCTCCTTGAGTGTTGTTGGAGCTGCACTATTTCAAGTAAGTGCCAAATATACCATCTCACAACTTGTGGCTGATGGACTGTTTGCAACACTCATTTAGCTACACATCCAAGTCTGGGGAAGTTATCCTAGCAGCACCTGATCTGTATGGCTCAGATAGTTACTGCTTAAGCAATTGATTACCAAGGAAGCTGACATTTCCATTTTTAAGTGCTTACACCTTGAAAACTCCATGATGATTATTTGTTGCTGCCAGATTGTTTTCTTGTTTTCAGTACCTCACCTTTAATCTGTGGCTTGGAAATTTTGTTTAATGGTTTAGCATCCTGATCTTTTGGATTTTGCTCGCCTGTGAATGAAATCTTCTGTAATCCTTCTGGATGATATCCACCTCCCTGTTGCAATTAATCCACCCATTTCATTTTATATTAGCAACAAATGTGCATCTAATCTTTTAACCTGGGTTGTTATTAAACGATGTGAAAATAAGTAGTCTGAAATACGTACTGAGATGCCAGATCCCTGATGCCTACAAATGCAAATGTTTATTCGCAATTTTCAACCAAATCTCTTAAATCTTGCAGACGAAGGGCCATTTTCTCTTCTCTGCTGGTTTCCTTCTTCAGACTTTAAAACAGACTTGCTCCTGGGGTGCCATTCTGTGTGTGTTTTTTTACCCGCTAGCTTTATAGTGATGTTGTCTCAACCCACACACTTTCCATTGAAACCCCCTGGTGTTTATTATGATTAATCTGCTGGCAGGCTTGGTTCAGTAACTAATGCTGCCTCATTTAATCCTGCAATGATTTACAAAGAGAATTTAGATTAAAACAGAGCAGTGAAAAAACAAATTCCCAAACACATTAAACCGAATAAAGAAACAAAGACTTAACTGTTCAATTTCGAGTGGAAAATGCAAATATGTTGGGGAGGAGTGGGTTGGGACGTTTGATTGACTGTTCAACTACTTAGTTGGTTGCCTTAAAAAGATACAACAAAATGTCCTTAATATTTAGGCATAATACATAGCAGATTAATTATGTCCTCAGTAAGTAAGGATAGGTTGCTTCCAAATAAAGTGAGAGTTGTAGTGGCATTATTTATCATACTTTGAATTGCAGTCTTGTCTAGACGAGAAACTTTTGACATTTTGCTTTTGCTCTGAATGCATGAACCTTTGAAAGGCTGCAACCACAGCTTTTCAACTAATTTGTTGGAAGTATTTCAAGATCATTGTCTTGTTTTTGATCAAACAGGCCTTGAGCTGATTGTTTGTTTTGTTTCCCAGGGGGGCTGTTTTCTAAGACTGAAATGTCAGAGGTGCTGACAGAAATTCTGAAGGTTGACCCAAGCTTTGATAAAGACACATTTTTAAAGCAATGCGAGAGGGACATCATTCCAAATGTTCTGGAGGTACCTGAAAAATATTTAATTTCTATTTTTGAGATGGGGGGGAAGAATTCAGAGAAAATGAAATTTACTATAAAAGATCAGTGAAATGAAAAGTAGAAGTACAATGGTATTTCGTATAGCTGACAAATACATTTGCTTGAAAGAGTGTTTTCCCAAATATTTTTAATTTATTTTTGATTTTATGTAAGATTTGAATTTTCTTGAAAATATTAGGACACTAGTGGTCAAGTATATCGGGTCACTAAGTAACTAAGTTCAGTGTGAAACTGAACAGTGTGGACTAAAGAGATTCCATATTTAATTCCTAAGTTAGCTGACCTGACCATTGGCAGTGGTTATTATTCAGGCCTGATGCTAACACCACGATGTTAGAAGGGAAGACTCAGCTTGATTCCTGCTGGAAAGGACGCAAATTTCAAGACAGAGTCAAACTCAGCATTATTGGCTGATGTTCAGCACCAGTCTCATGTGCAGAATGATCACTTGAAACCATATTGTAGGAAGGAAACTTCTTTGATAGTACATGAGTATAATTGATTTGGGAAGATAATGACAATATATTCTTTACAGAAAGGGGTTTTGTGTATCCCTGACTGACAGTGCAACTCCAACTTTCCTTGGAGTGATATAAATTTGCCAGTCCTGTCTGAGAAGGCCAAAAGTGCATCCTAGAAGGTGCAGCAATGGCTTTGATGCCGAGGGAGATGTGAAGAGAATTTGAGGAAAAGTTGGGAATGCATACTGAAGAATTAAGAGCAAATTTCAAAGCTTTGGGAAAAAAATTCAGCATCCTGTATACTGTTCGACAAAATAAATCATGGTGAATGTCTCTTCTTTGTAAGGAGCAAATCTGTTCAGCAAGCACATCTCATTTAAGACGAGGCAAAAGGATGGAGCGTTTGTCTTCTTCCATAAGTGTCACCTGCCCTATAGGTGTACTTTTATATTGGTTTGTTTTTGTTGGAGCTGTTTTGACCTCAAACTTACTCTGTCTTTTCCAAGTTAATGCATCACACAGGGTATTCATGTTTTACTTTCACAGAGTCAAGGTCAGTCACCAATATTACAGAAGTCTTGTTTTCCCCTCCATGGAATGCTCTGTCACAGAAGCAAGCCATTTAGCCTCCCAAATAAGTGTTAATGTTTTGAAACCTAATTATTTTATTTTTTCTAATTATTTTTAAAAGAAATTTATTTGAAGCATTATTTTGACTTGATCTTAAATTGGTGCCCTCTTCTTAGCACTTCTTTGATTAGTGTAAGTTATGCATCACTAATTACCCTATCATAATCTTTGACTTTATTGCATTGCCTTTTAGTATAGTCTACCTTAGTGAAAGAAAGCCAAAGATCTTCATTCTCTTTTCAGAATTGTTACCTTGTTCTTACTAAAAAAACTATATTAAATCTCTTCTACTGCATTTATGTCTATGTTCCTTCCCATTCATGGGATCTGGCCTTCAGTGGCAAAGTCAATGTTTATTGTCCATCCAGTATTACCTTTTGGAGCGGATTTCTTAAATCACTGCAGTCAGTGTGGCGGAGGCGATGGTTGGTTATGGATATGGACTTGCTTTTTCAACTAAGCGACAGTGAACAAAGAATATTTTATTTTTAAATTAGGATGGTGTGACATGGAGAATGTAAAAGATGGCTTTGTTGCCATGTCCCTCCTGCGCTTGTTTTTCTAGAAATTGAGGCTATATGTTTGAGATATGCCTTGAAGGAGGCTTAGTAGGTTGCACCTTCTAGATGGTACACATTGCAGCCATGATGTACTTGTGGGCGGGTGCCATTCAGAATGGTTGCTTTGCCCTTGATGGTGTCAGTGATTTTTAATGATGCCAGAGCTGTTCTCATTCAGACAGGAACATTCCATTGCATTCCTGACTTCAGCTTTGTAGATGGTGGAAAGCTCAGGGAAATCAGAAGGTTTTAGTTACCTGCCTCTTAATAGTCAGCCTTTTATCTACTTTTGTAGCCACTTATTTATGTGGCTTGTCCAGTTGCAGTTCATGTTCAGCTGTGGACTAATTGAGGTCAGTCTCCCAGGCTTTGTATTTTATGCGACATAGTTAGGGAGTTGGATATTGTTCTTGCCAACTGAGAGCAGGAGTTCTGAAGGCTGTGTTACCTGCTTATGCCAGGATTAAAGATTGCCAAAGAACTTGGAGGTGGAGGGTTCAGTTTTTGTGGTCTAATGAGTTAAATGGGACTAGGAAGGGGTTTTGTGAACAGACTGAGCAGAAATAGGCTAAATTAAAAGGCAGAATGACCAATGATACCCTCTGAATCTGAGCTACCAGAAAATTGGCATTGGGTAAATAAGATTTAGTTGAATGTGTGGTTCAGAAATTGTTGTGGAATTGGAAGAAATGGGATTTAATCTATGAGACACTCATGCTAATACAGGGGAGAAGAGGGAATTGTACTGTTAGGATGGTTTTCATACAAATTGAGCTGTGACCAGTGTCCCAGTGAATTTTATAACTAAGGCTATAGTGGAGACTTTGAAGTAAATAGCGATGGAGAGATTACACATGAGGCAAGACTTGGGAAGTTGAGAAAAGGCAAGACAATAACGCAGGGTAAAGTTGAATGTAATAACAACTAGAGTGTGACAGAAGGTTATGGAGTATATAAACATAATGCACTAATAAGGCTAGGGGGAAAATGCTAAAAATACAGAATTATAGGATTTTTTTGAATACGTGATGTGGAGGTGCCGGTTTTGGACTGGGGTGGACAAAGTCAGAAGTCACACGACACCAGTTATAGTTCAATAGGTGTATTTGAAATCACAGGTTTTTGGAGGGTAACCCTGAGGAAGGCTATGCTCTGAAAGCCTGTGGTTTCAAATAAACCTGTTGGACTATAACCTGGTGTTGTGACTTCTGACTTTTTGAATGCAGGTAGCGTTCATAATAAGATGGTTGAATTGGTGCACATTTAGAATTAAACAAGTATAATAACCATTATAGAGATGTGATTGTGTGACCAAGGCTAGGACCTAAATATTTAATGGTATTTGTCATTGTAAGGGGAAGTGGATGGTGTAATGGTAATGTCACTGGGCTAAGTAATCCAGAGCCTCAGGTTAATGACATGGAGTCAAATCCCACCATGGCAGATGGTGACATTTGAATTCCATAATAATTTGAAATGAAAAGTAACCCTCATGGTGACCCTGTAACTACCATTGATTAGCGAAATAGATGGGTTTTACAACAATGTCCTTCATTCCTGGACAATTTGGCCTATATGTGACTCCAGAACCACAGCACTGGTTGACTTTTAGCTGCCCTTTGGGCATTTAGCAATGAATATAAGTATTGGCATAGCCAATTGTATAGCCAATGAATGAATTTTGGAAAGACAAAAAGCAGGGAAAGAAGGCAAGGTATTTCTGCTAATAAGGGATAAGATCGGTATAATAGTGCCAAATGATCTTAGACTGGAGAATTAAAATATAGAATGAGCTTACGTAGTGATTAGAAATGGGTAGGAAGGAAGTAACAATGTTGTAAGAATGAATATAAATTGGAAATAATGGAGACTTGTAGGAAACATACTGCGCAAAGTATAATTTAATATACTTAGTTTAAAAAAATTCAAATTAGCAAAGGTTGCCTGGAGAATGCATTCATAGTGGTCAGGACAATTTCTTAGAATGAAAAGTACGAGCCAGAGAACAGGCTTTTAGACCTAGTAATGTGTAATGAGACAGGATTAAATGAATGTCTTCATGGTAAAGGATCAAGAGCAATCATAATTAAATTTCTCATTCAACTTGAGGATGAGGCTGGATATTATGTGCCCTAGACAGGAGAGCATACATTGAAGAGAAAGTGGTGAGCCCACCATCTTCCCACACACTTCCAAGTTCATCCCCTTAATACAGCGCTCAGCTGAGCATCTAAGCCTGTTCCTGCTTTTCCCCATATTCTTTGATCTCTTTAGGCTCGAGTGCTATATTTCAACTCCTCCTTGAAATCATACATTGTTTTAGTCTTGATTGCTTTCTGTGGTAGTGAATTCCACAGACTCACTACTCTCTGGGTAGCATTTTTCCTTGTCTCAGTCCTAAATGGTTTACCTGGTATCCCTAGGCTGTGACCCCTGGTTCCAACTTGTCATTGGCAACATCCCTGTTGTTTCTACACTGCCTAGTTCTGTTAAAATTTTACAGTTTTCTGAGTTCCTCCCCTTCATTCTTTTGTATAGCAAGTATAATCTTAATTGATTCAACATGTCCTCGTATAACATCAGTCCCGCCTTAACTGAAATTAGTCTGATGTATTGTGTGCAGTTTGGGTGTTTCTTACAGAAGCAAGGATATACTTGCATTAGAAACAATTCAGAGAAGGTTCACTGGGCTGATCCTGTGTAGTTTGACAGTGCATGTGAGGGGAAAAAAAAAAGTGGGGCTTGTCAAAAATGAACTGTAATCATTATGGAAGACTTTAATTTACATGTAGATTGGGAGAATGAGATTGGCAAACGTAGCCTAGAAAATCTGTTTGTGTGTTTTCAGGTCAGTTCCCTATAGCAGTATGTTCTAGAGCCAACCAGGAAGCAAAATAACTTGGACCTGGTAATGGACAATGAGACAGGATTAAGCAATAATCTTATGGCAAAGAGGTGTCTCCAGGAGACCATGACCACAGGATAGAATTTCATATTCAGGTTAAAAGGGAGAAATGTGGGTCCATGAAGACAATATGGACAAATATACAAAGAGTGGAAGTGGGTCAGAAGATTGAGCAGAGTTTAAGAGCCAGTAAAGGTAAACTAAAAACATGATAAAATGCTAAAAGTAGAATATGAAAGAAAGCTAGCGAGTAATACTAAAAACAATAAGTAAAGGTTTGTGCAGGTATTCGAACACTATTTTTTGTCTGTCTTCATGATAGAAAGACTTAGCACTTAAAGAACAATATCACTGGGGAGAATTATGCGAGGACAACTGTTAGACCTAAAGACGGATCAGCCTTAGGACAAAATGGCCTGCATCCTAAGATCTTAGCGGCACAGTTAATAGTTGGATTGTTTACAATCTTCCAAAATTCCTCGGTTGGCTGGTGGTATGACTCTTGGGTATTGCTGAAAAATAAAGACATGTTTTGCCAAAACTTTGTCTTGTGCTCATCAGGGCATTTAGAACAAGTAAATATAAGTAAAGGGGAATAACATTTTATACGATATGAGGAGGAGTGCTGATGGTGGCAGGTGCACTCTGATTGGTGGAGGCATTGCCATGGAGAAGCACCAGATGATTTCTGACAATAACCTGTAAAGCCTTATTTAAATTAAAACTAGGCAAGTTGATTGATTAGTCCAGTCAGTGCCTTGAGGAGTGGCCTAGAGAATGGCAGTCACCTATTTTTTTGAACTGAAACTGGCTCAACATATATAAATTCTGTCTGCAAAGAACAGGGCCTTAGATATTCAGATATGAAATTTCCACTTTGCGCGAGTGTGTTGCACTGCAAACCTGATTGATGTAGTAAATTGAGATAACAAGGTGTGGAGCTGGATGAACACAGCAGGCCAAGCAGCATCAGAGGAGCAGGAAGGCTGACGTTTCGGGCCTAGACCCTTCAGAAATGGGGGAGGGGAAGGGGATTCTGAAATAAATAGGGGGAGGGGGGAGGCGGATCGAAGATGGATGGAGGAGAAGATAGGTGGAGAGGAGACAGACAGGTCAAAGAGGCGGGGATGGAGCCAGTAAAGGTGAGTGTAGGTGGGGAGGTAGGGAGGAGATAGGTCAGTCCAGGGAGGCCGGACAGTTCAAGGGGGCAGGATGAGGTTAGGAGGTAGGAGATGGGAGTGGGGCTTGAGGTGGGAGGAGGGGATAGGTGGGAGGAAGGACAGTTAGGGAGGCGGGAACGAGCTGGGCTGGTTTTGGGATGCGGTAGGGGAAAGGGAGATTTTGAAGCTTGTGAAGTCCACATCGATGTCATTGAGCTGCAGGGTTCCCAAGCGGAATATGAGTTGCTGTTCCTGCAACCTTCGGGTGGCATTATTGTGGCACTGCAGGAGGCCCAGGATGGACATGTCATCTGAGGAATGGGAGGGGGTGTTGAAATGGTTCACGACTGGGAGGTGCAGTTGTTTAGTGCGAACCGAGCATAGGTGCTCTGCAAAGAGGTCCCCAAGCCTCTGCTTGGTTTCCCCAATGTAGAGGAGGCCACGACGGGAACAGCGGATGCAGTATACCACATTAGCAGATGTGCAGGTGAACATCTGCCTGATGTGGAAAGTCTACTTAGGGCCTGGGATGGGGGTGAGGGGGCAGGTGCAGCACTTCCTGCGGTTGCAGGGAAAAGTGCCGGGTGTGGTGGGGCTGGAGAGGAGTGTGGAGCGGACAAGGGAGTCACGGAGAGAGTGGTCCCTCCGGAAAGCAGATAAGGGTGGGGAGGGAAAAAATGTCTTTGGTGGTGGGGTCGGATTGCCCACAGCCGACGCCAACGTTGCTCCGCCCACTGCCTCCACAGCCAGCAGCTCCTGAGGAGACAGCAGCACCCAGCCCTGCTGGGTCCTCACCATTCCCCCAGACCGCCCCCTTACTGAGGACGAACGGTCAGTCCTCAGTAAAGGGCTCATCTTTGTCCCCCTCCACCCACACATCAACGAATACCGGTCCCGTTTGGACATTGAGCAGTTTTTCTGCCGCCTCCGGCTCCGCGCTTACTTCTTCAACTGTGAGCCTAACCCTCCCTCTACTGACCCCTTCTCCCACCTCCAACACACCCCCTCCTCCTGGACACCACCCCAAGGCCTCCTACCCTCCCACGACCTCTTCATCTCCAACTGCCTTCGAGACATCAATCGCCTCAACCTCTCCACCCCTCTCACCCACTCCAACCTCTCCCTCGCAGAACATGCAGTCCTCCGCTCCAATCCCAACCTCACCATAAAACCTGCGGACAAGGGAGGTGCAGTTGTAGTATGGCGCACTGACCTCTACATCGCCGAGGCCAGGCGCCAGCTCTCCGACACCACCTCCTACTGCCCTCTTGATCATGACCCCACCCCCGACCACCAAACCATCATCTCCCAAACCATCCACAACCTCATCACCTCAGGTGACCTCCCACCCACAGCCTCCAACCTTATCATTCCCCAACCCCGCACCGCCCGCTTCTATCTCCTTCCCAAAATCCACAAACCTGACTGCCCTGGTCGACCCATTGTCTCCGCGTGCTCCTGCCCCACCGAACTTATCTCCACCTATCTCGACTCCATTTTCTCCCCCTTGGTCTAGGAACTCCCTACCTACGTCCGTGACACCACCCAC